CTTTTGAATGTGGCCAGAATTATAATATTGGCCACATACCTGAGTGGTCATAACCTAAGCTAAGTGGAAATAACATAGTTATGTTATTTCCACTATTACTATTAGATTCATGTCAGGACATTTGTGCAGGCCAAGAAAGAGTTACTACATTATTTTCTTTTTTCCAACTTTTTACATATGTACTACTCTTGCTGTATGTATTGGAGCATTGTCCTCTTACTTTTGGGAAATTGTATTTTCCTTATCCTCAAGAGTATTTATATAAGGTACCAGGTGATTCCTTAAAACAGCCATATAATCCTTAACTGTGATCCTTCCATCCAACCTCACTATGGGACCAAGGCCATGTTTAGTAAAGCATCCCCAAACCATCACTCCATCTTGTCCTGATTTCATAGTGGGTATAAGACACTTTACATCATATTTTTCGTAAGGCCTTTTCCATACAAATCTCCTACCATCACCTCTAAAAAGTTCAAATTACTCCAAATAATGTTATCCTATTCATTTCTCCATTCTCACCTTTCTTTGGCCCAACTTAGTCTTTTGATTTGATTTTTATAAAGAGGGTTTCTTACCCCTACCTGGCCATAGAAGCCATTCTCATGAAGATGACTATGAAGTGTGTTTATACAGACATTATTAGATGTTGAAGCTGTAAAGTTCTCATTTATTTCCTCAAGATTAGCTCTTCTATTTTTTTGGAGAACTCTTTTTATTGCACGACTATCTCTTGGTGTAATTTTTTTGGGTCTTCCTGGTCGATTATAGATTAGGAGGTTTTTCTTGTTGATGATCACGACAGTACTTGGGGTTTAACAATCACCCAAAGGTTTTCAATAGGATTTAGGTCTGGACTATTAGAAGGCCAGTCCATAACCTCTGGAACGTTGTTTTTGGGCAATGCAACTAGTATGTTTTGGGTCATTGTCCTGCTGCAGTCACCAATTGCCCCTGAACATGCTTTTTATCTTTGGAATATGCTGCTCCAATATTTCTGTGTAGTATTTTCCATCCATTATGTGCTGAAAACAAGTAAGACTTTTACACAGAAACCACCCCCACGTGAATATTTTACTTCGATTTTTTGGCATGGGGCGGATTGGCTTTGCATTCTTATACCAATGCTTTATGGTGTTACGAAACAATTGAAACGATGTCTCGTCACTAAATAATGTCTTTTTCCAATTGTCATTTTGTGCCCATTCAACACGTCTTTGCTTATGGGCTGATGTAAGCATTGGTGTAGCAAGGGGAAGAGCACTCCGGTAACCAAGGTCACTCAAATGCCTTGTTACTGTTTTATAATTACATTCTTTATGTTACTTGAAATATATTTATTGTTATGATTTCAGTAAAGAGTTAACCAAGCTGCCTTTGTTGAGACTATGGTTATGATCTTTAATGTCCCAAGTCTGTGATAGGTCAAATAGATGTCGCATCGTCGGTCTACCATGCGGACAGTTCTAATGTAAAAAATGGATAAACAATTGAATCCAATAGAATAATCTCGATGAGTAAAACTTGAGATATTATATAGTAATTGAACGTCTTACCCAAGGCTGACTTATAGTGCCCATATTATTTACGATCTATATCAATGATCGGAAAATCATGTCAATATCATGATTATGATAGCCAATGAACATACTAATATACTTACCTGTTTCATTTGTCGTTTGTTCAATGGATCCCCTATCATCACAGATTTACGACATGCGCGAGATGCAAACATATTACGTACTTGCGAGCAGCGAACCATTTCACCAGGCCGCTCAGCTAATAAAAAAATCAACTCTTCCAAGTCTTTTATTGAATACGCGCGTCAGCTCTATAATACAATAGTTATCAAGACGTGAAAGAAGATATAGCGAATGTAAATAACCTTTAGTGCCAAATACGGTGTTTTTGCTCATTGGTTGTGCTACTAATTTCAATCTCCTTGTTGGTGGGGCTTTATCATCAACTTGCAGTTCAAATCCATTAGCTTTCAAAACGTCCATATTTTCAATCGCAACTAACTCCTCAGTGGCAGTAAATTGCAGCTGCATAGGACTAGAAATATCCAATGCATCCAGTCAATAGAATGTTCAATTTTTGTGGGAGTGATAAGACTCGAGTACAAACCTAATCAATTGTTGAGAATGCAGCCTCGTCTGACGTTGTAGAGTCTCAAAATTATATTTCTCGTCAGAAGCATGCTGATCAACTATAAACAAGTCACCTCCAGATACGCTGTCTAGTTTCACTATAATGAAGCCAAGATTAAATTGACCCACGACCTTCATTCGAATGAAATCTTCCTTTGATATAACTCTACTCAATTCACGTTCAGCGATTGCGTTGCTTTCTGCGTTGAGTCCGGCGTCAACAAGGTGAATTTTGTCGGGTAAGTTTCGTATCAATTTCGTAATTTTTTGATTCTTCATTCTCTTTTTAAGTTTATTAATGTCAAATTGCACATCTAGTTCAGCTTTTTTCGACAATTCAGGTTCGTTTGATTTGTGTTCTGTCGAAACCGTCTCAACTGCAGGGTTCAACACAGGTTTAGAGCTCCGTTTCACGATATCATCATTTGCAATTTCTGCATTGATTCTCTGGCGCTTCAGTGAATATCCATTGTCGGACGCAGTTTGATTTACTGGCAAAAATATCTTCGGCTTCTCGGTAATGCACGCGGATCTTAATTTCTCAGTGGACGCGATTTTCGATGACATTGCTTGCATGGTCTGGTTTTTTTCCTTAGAATCCATCTCGAATATCCCAGGCGTAATAGAATCCACTTCTGTGTCGTCTTGCAGCTTGGATAATCTATCAATGCTTTTATTGGGTGGTCCTACCGAATCATCATGCGATTGACGGTTTTGGCATTCGGAATTTTCAGAGTCAAAGACAAGACTTAAATTATTGTTAACAGAAAAAGTCGATCGAAACGGCTCAAATGCCTTGATCAGTTGATTCTACGTTTTTATAACCAATTAGTAAAATTTGCAAGACATGCACAACTGTCAGACAAAGAAGTAATTATCTTAACCTTCATGACGTCAACAATTTTCTTTTCATCGTGAACAAATATTGTACGTTTGTCTGGACTCACATTGACATCATATCTTGCTATTATACATAATATTTGTTAATCAAAGTTGACCGAGAATACATACAACAGCAATTAACTCGCGTTTCAAATACATTTAGCTAGACGAATATCCGCGACTACAAAGGGTAGCTGGTTGGAATTATAAGTCTTGTATACTTCATTAAAGACTTTGGAAATCTAATGGGAAGCGGCGAATGATCATAAGAAACTCATAACAAAACTTCTATTGGCAATCCAATTATACATGCCTTTGGTAATGTACAAGGACGTCCGTTTATGTAATAGTACTGTCTATCGGTAGTATTTCGGCCACATCCATAGATCGGCTTGGATATATAGCCAACCACTTGAATAACAGCCTCCATCCTACAAACACGGCGTTAGATGTATATCTATTGTGTATCAAAGACTTCGAAGTGATCTACTTTACTGTGAATTGTCATCGCGTTCTATGGCATCAACCATCGTCAATCTCTCTGACTCGGTGTTCAGCTGAAAGTCTATAGCCATCACTTGGGGTAATTGTTTAGCACCAAATATATTTGCAAAGTTTTCACGTATAGATTTATTGCCGCTAGTTGTAAGAATCGTGATTCTCTCGCTATAAAAATAACGAGTGAGTATTGATTTTTATACCACAAATCCAAATACCATGCTGAAACAAATACCTTCTGCCTGTCTGATTAGTGCATGTGATTTTCACATCTTCCGATATAATCCCATAAGCTTGCAACAACGTCAAAGCTTTTGCAAACTCGCGTTTGACATTTCTCTTAAACTCTTTCTGTCTAACAGGCAATGACTCAAATAATCTTTGTACAATAACTGTTGTTCCGCGCTAGACAAAGGGACATTGTATCAGAGCTCATCAATGATCACAAGGTCCGAGAAAACGATGAACAAATGTTTAAAGGATCGTTCTTCAAATGCACCACCTCACGTGCAGTAGGAATTGTTTTTGCAAGTCGACCATTTGCATCATATTCAAGTTTCCTACCAGACGGCGCCTGTTCTTCAGTCGAGGTGATAACCGTAAGTTTTGACAGTGCGCACAGTGAACTGAGTGCTTCACCGCGAAAGCCAAATGACTCTATGGCTGTCAAATCTTCGAAGCAAGACAACTTTGAAGTATGGTGTTTCAAAGCTATGCATTCGACAAGCTTCAGTTAGTCATTTCTTCTTGTCTCAAACATATGTCGCACGTTAGTTATGTTAGTTTACCGAGGAATTCATAATTCTGTCCTGGGATGCCTATTCCATTATCGATGACTTCTATGAGCTCGAGCCCGTGATTCTTGAGCCTCACCTCTTCGGTTGCGTTGAATAAGAATACATGAGTAGGCAAATTCGTACTATCGCATATGCTAAAACGTGTTACCTATGGACGTAGCCTGCGCGTCCAAACTATTCTCGACAAGCTCCTTAATAGTTGTACTCAGATCTACAATAACTTGACCTGAACAGATACGATGTACTGAGGATTTATCGATCGCTTTTACTGTAGCCATCTTGCAAAAATAGGTTCTCTCTCACACACGCGTCAAACATTCCTAACTTACGGGCGCACAATATTAAATGGCGAACATTTGATCATGTGAGCTAAAATGGCTAGTGTGGCTAATAGTTGTGGCTCATGCATAACAGATGTGATTAACACCAAGTTGAAACAGAAACCATATAAATTCTCAATCAACTAATTTACTATGCAATTTTCGAATATTCCAGAATAGATCCGCATTTCAAATGGGTTAACTCACATTCTTAAACAAACCACATTTTTACAACCCTGGTTCAGAATAAGATTACCTACAAAAGTGCAAGTA